TAATGATTAGTTTAATTGTTATTTAGATGTGGTTTGCAATGAATGCGATAAGAAATTCAAGAATAACAAGTCTTTAGGCATACATATGGCCCGAAAGCATAACATTCGGGGCAAATGTCAGACCATTACGTGCTATAAATGTGGGCAAAAGGTATGGAAATTACGGCTAAGGGATCACATGAAAGAAGAGCATAATATTAGCGGCTATTCCACTGAGAAGAAGAGGGCAGAGCTGTCCTGCACTTGGCCTGACTGTGGCCTCTCATTCAGATCCCAAGCGGCTCTCGATAAGCACTACGGGTTTGTGGCTATAGTTTAATATATTGCTGAGTTGTTTGTAGGGCTGTCCCACAGATCAGTTATAGTGACTGTCTGTATAAGACATCTCCTACAGACTCAGGCAATAAGTGATGTTAAGAATGTGAACCAAATATGTAATTGTTTGTTTGGACATTGAATAGGGGACATACCGGTGATCTGCCCTTCAAGTGCCAGTGGCCGGGATGTGATCAACAATACGAGTAATTATTCTCATTAATTAATACTGTATTATAATTATAACAATTGATTGTATCGTTTGCGCGGAACCCGTGCTTACAGTAAACCGTCGCGACTGGACGGACACATGACAATGCATACGGGAGAGAAGCCATACGAGTGTGATTGGCCCGAATGTGGCAAATCATTCCGACACTTATCCACACTTCGATGCCATAGTTTTACTCATAACAGAGACACTCCTCGAAAGCATGTCTGCTATTATCCCGGATGTGACAAATCATTTATCTGTCCCTCAAAGGTATTCAATACCACACCTAATGATAATGATATTGGTTAACACATTTGTGTCCACTCTGTGTATCTCATAGCTAACGGAACACGTGTTCAGCACCCATAAGAAGGACGAGAAGCCATTCAAATGCCATCACGAGGGCTGCAAATCCACGTTCATATCCAAGAAGAATCAGAGACTACGTAAAGAGTTTTTGATTCAATACTTACATATTTATCAATTGAAAATCAATGTATTTGTGTATAGATTTACGTACAGTACACGCGTCTACGCGGCCCCGATTCTGGTGCTCTATAACGGGGTGTAAGCGCTCTTTTTACGAGCAAAAGGCACTCGAAAAACATGAACAAAAAAGTCACGTAAAAGAGCCTAAAGTGAAGAAACCCCGCAAGAAATGGGTGCCTCCGCCCGGCTATAAACGGTTCGCTTACACCACCAAAAATGCTCAGGTATTGCCATTCGTTGCACATGTAGTCTAATGAACACTAATTCATTACCTAAAAATGGTCACTTTTCTCTGTGGTAACCCAACAGTGCGATTGGCCCGGATGTGACTATAAGGCCGAATACCAGGGCAAAGTGAATGTGCATAAAATGCGTGCCCACACGGGCGAGAAGCCGGTGGCCTGCGGTTGGCCGGGCTGTACGTATCGCGCCGTTCGCAAGTGCGAGATCGACATTCATATGGTCTGTATTATGAAAATGAGTTAATTTTAACCATATTTAATGTGTTGTAACTAATTGTATGGACAGCGAAAGCACACGGGAGAGGCGCCCTATCCGTGCGAACTGCCCAACTGCGGCCGTAGGTTCAAATCGCAGCGCGCGCTCGACACACATTGGCATAAAAACCATAATATGTAATAACGTATTTACATTACGTTAACTCTATTTATTAACAAATGTTTCAATCAATTATTTATTTAACGTAAATCTACAAATTTTATGTGTAGTTTTTTAATGTGATTATGAATTGTAATTAAATTAAATATCTGTTAATTTGTTTGCTAAATATTTGATAAAATAAACTAATGTTTAAAAATATTATTATTTTGTTCATAACTCGAATGATCTTCGGCGCTGATCCCTATGCAAAGAGCACATGATCTACAATCACATTGTGTCATATGTTTTAAAACTTAATAATTAAATCAAAACTTTAATTAAAACTAAACCACAAAAACAATTCAACTAAACTTAACGTAAAGTTTTTTCACGCATTCATACGTTGAGAGCGCTCTCTATTGTCGGCCAATATTTGTCACAAAATGTTTTTCACTGTTTTTTCTATGCATTTGTTTTGATTCACAAATTTCTGAGTTTTTATTATTTATTTATTTAATTAATTAATTAATGGTTTAATTAATTGGTTTTCAAAGTGTTTTGAAGCGATGAGAAGGAGTCCGAGAAGTGGTGTCAAAAGTGGTCAAACAAATGGCAGCCAATTGTGCGCCCAATTGAAGGCCAATCACCAGTCATTGAATGGTGTCTTGAGTTCATTGCAAACCATTTCAGACAAATGCAGACAATTTTGCAAACAGTTTAACATCGGATCCGATGCCGACTATCAGCTCACGGAATACGAAGACCTGTTGTCCCGACTCACCGAAAAACTACAAACTAATCGCTCGGCTTATCAGCGAAATCATGGCACCGAAGAGGTCGCCGACAACGAGTCCGAAGTGTCGGATCAAATGGACAACCGTTGCGATGATATCGGCGATGGAGGCGACGATCTGAGCGATGGCCACAGCGATGGTCACCACAACGAAGACCACAGTCTTGTCAATAACCTATCGCTGGAAGAATTGGAGCGAAAGATTACTGTGTTTTATAGAGTGGACAAAAAGTGTGGCAAAAAGTTGAAACACTTCCGCTGTCCGGTCGATGGCTGTGGCGTTGAATCCCATTCGCGGGCCAACATCGAAGCGCATCTGATCCGACACACCAACGATCGCGACCACCAGTGCTATTGGCCCAGTATTTTAAGCCATGATTTAATTAATTTATACAATTATCTTAACTCTATTTTCTTTTCTTTGGATCAAACAGAATGTGATAAGAGTTTCGGTTACAAGAAGTCATTGCTTTCACACATCGAGAGCTATCATCTGAGAAAAGAGCGGTTCAAGTGCTGCGCCGACGGCTGCGGTCAAGTGTTTGTCCACAAGTATGAACTTCACTATCACATCAAACAGCACCACAACAGCGATGGTCCGCATCGGTGTGTTTGGACTGAGTGTCACTTCGACTTCGGAACCGTCACATGTCTTTGGCCTCGTTGTGGACAACACTTCGCTAATTCAAAGTCAGTTTTATAATTGATAACAATCTGATAATTGATTAATTAATTGTCAATAATATCTTACTTTTATTTTATAATTTTCATGCGATGAAGACTTTTAGGTAAATATGATTACAATTACTCGCTTTTGACGTGAATTTTTATGAAATATTTTTACTTGAAAATCAATTTAGATTCTCATACGGAAGACATTCATCTGAAACGGTTTGTTATTAATTGAACGATATATTTAAGACTCAATTAGAGTAAAACTGATTGCATATAACAGTCAACCGGGCTTTAAAAGCGATTTGGACGGCGAACTCAATGCCGGTGAGAACGACGACCAATCCGGTGACGATAGCGGCCATTATGTGGCACTCAATCGGCGAAACAAAAGTAAACCGAGTGACGAATCACCGGAAACTCACATTAATAAATATACCGGTTATTATCGGATCTATTACTCATATCTCTATTATAAGTTAACATTTGTTTGAAATTTTAAGGCAAACCGTTGTCGAGACGGCGCCGGGAGAGGAACTACCCGTGCAGTTGGCCCGCCTGTGAGATGGCCTTTGAGAGTATAACCGCTGTGAATAATCATATGCGTAAACACACCGGTAATTGAATTAACTTTTGGCTCTAAATTATTTAAGCAATTGATTGATTAACTCTTTAGGTGAGAGACCTTTTGTCTGTGATTGGGAAGAGTGTGGAAAGACATTTCGGTTTGTAATTATCACTCGCTTTTTATGTGCTATTCATTTCTAATTTGTCTGCTATTGTTTGCATATATAATGACAGCTATGGAAGTGGTCTTAAATGTAAGTGAAAAGAGTGTTGGTCTCAAACGATAACCACTTTTTGTAATCAATTGTTAACTCACTTCTAGTGCATAAGGAGATGATTCACCTGAAGCTCAAACAGTATCGGTGCGAATGGCCTGAATGTGGTGAGGCGTTCATATCGATGTCTCAACTCAAGGTCCACCAGACAGAGCACACGGGCATCAAGAGGTTCCAGTGCCAGTGGCCGGGCTGTGAGTGGCGCACAAACCACACGCAACAGCTGGAGATCCATCGGATGCGCTCTCACGAGGGAAAGAAGCTATACTTCAAACGCTATAAGTCGAAGAATAACTCGAACCCAAACTCCGACTACGACTATAAGGGAGTGCTCAAGAAGTTTGGCTGCGATTGGCCCGGATGTGGGCGACGGTTCCGCTTTGAGAACAATCTCCAGACACACATCAAAGCCCATCAACGGTCTACGGGTGCGATATATTGGCTGTTTTTTGGCCACAATTTTTTATATTTATAATTATGTTTATGTTTTTTTGCGATTCCAGACGATTCGGTTGAACCTAAAGCACCCAAAAAACCGGCCAAAAAATATAAACAAAAATATAAATATCGGATTCCGAAAGAGACCAAAGTTAACAAGAAGTATCCGTGCGAATGGCCCGGATGTACGGCCAATCCTATGCCCAAAACTATGGTAATAAAGCCATACATTTGATTTATTTTTAAACAATTGACTTATTTATGGTTTTGATTGTATGTTAAGCTGAAGCAACACATGAACAGACATAAGGGCGTTAAGCCGTTCGCTTGCGATCACTGCGACAAATGCTTCTCATATAGAAGTACTCTAAGAAGTCATATCCAATCCAACCATCAATTGGCCGAAGAGACCATCGAAAGGGAGTTCAAGTGTCCGTTTGGTGACTGCACCCGATCTTTCAGCACAAAGAAAGGCATTGACTTTCACATTAAGAGAACTCATCAAAATGTGGTGACAATTTTGATTACTATATTAAACACTAATTTGTTTAATGAATTATTTATTTATCATTCCCTTTAAGGATAACGAAAGCAATTTTAGCCAAACGCGTGATACTCGTGACAGTTGTGATAATAGCTATAACAATAGCGTTATGACGATTAGCGAAACGCCGAGTCCTCAATATATGGGCGTTCAGTCAAATGTGATCCGTTTGGAGCGCATTCAGGCCTTCAATTCCATGCGAATCAACGGCCCGTACGAACGATACGAAAATCATTACGAGTCCATGGGATCGCCCGCCGGCCTCACCAATCGCTCCACTCATACAACTGCCGAGAAATTGTTGACAAATGCTTTGAGAGCTCAACGCGGTGTCAGAATTGTGAGACCAACTCAACGACAATCCATTGAGACTTCGCCGCCGGTCAACACCGAGACTATTATCAAGGAGTTGCCCATCGCTTGCACTCATGATAGGTGTTGGCGACGATTCAAGTCAACGAAGGCTCTGGAATACCATCTCAAGAAGTTCCACCCATAGTTGTGTTGAATCACTTTTTCACTTTTACTGTAAATTAATTTTTATTAATTTTAAATAATTTTACACTTTTTGCCACGAGTTTAAAGTTTTCATTTAATTTATTGTGATTTTTGGAATAAATAGTTTTTTATTGGTTGTAAATTAATTTAAGATTAATAAATATATTTATTATTTATAAATTGCTGTTTATTTAATGTTTAATTATTGACACAACATTTTATTATTAATACAATCGTTTGGCTTAATTATAATGAGTTATTTTCCAAATTTATGATACATTTAATGATTGAATTGACCAGAAAATTGTGGGTATAATTAAAGAGCAATGGATTTGATAAATATATTAGACATTGATTTTCAGTTGAGATACGATTTCTTGAACCGAAAGCCTTCGTTCTGTAAGACACAGGTCTCGTAGAATTGGGCCAACATTTTCAGGTCTTGTAAGACATTTGGGTTATGACCGACTCTTTCTGGTATTTTTTAGTCAAATAAAACAATATACTCTTTAGTTTAATTAACACTACATTACAATCATATATAGATTTCAATATTTTAAATTATAGTAAAACACAATTAACACAACAAATGATATAGAAAAAGCAAAATTGTCATAATTATAATACAATTATTATCTGAATCTCATACCTGAGCGGACATTCCTGAGCGCGATCTTCTGAACGGGATGTAAGCGACACATCGGCGTGTCTTTGATGACCATTTGGGTGAATACATATGCGGTTAATGTTAGCGACAATAACAAATGAACATTCATGAGTATTTCTAATCATGAGTTAGAGGGTAATATGCTTTGCCATTCCAGTCATGAATTGTATTCTGTCATTGACTGTGATTATGAGATGTCATTATATGTCTAATTAGTTTTGGACAGAGCTGATAGATTGAGTGCATGAATATTATAACATTATAAAATAAAGGTACACTGTGTGCAACTCATTTTGAAAAACTTCAATAATTATTTTTCATTCAATCGCTTTCATTCTCAAACACTAATATTTGTATGCAAAATGAAATTAAACAAGTTTTATCTTAAAGTAAATACAGTTACTACTGGAATCACACGATATTGCAGGCAGAGAGGTACGTGAAACCGGTTGTAGGATTTTATTTCTAAATCATGTGCGCACAGTGTACCTAAACTTAGGGATTAGTATTGTATAGATGCACTCATTCTATTAGCTCTGGTTTTGGACACCTAATGGGCCCAACAGACAATACGTCCACAAAATGACACATTCATCCACAAGTGGTTAAATAGTTTTACACATTTTCAAGTTTTACTCATTTTGGTTGAATGTATTTACCCAAAAA